TCATGTTGTTCAAGACTCACTATTATATGGATACTGCCTGTTATAGCTTATTTGTCATGAAATTACACAGTAAGTTGCTAAAGTGCATGTTAGATGAGTCATACCTCTTATGTCCTTTTCAACTTTAGAAGAGATTTTCTACCCCAGGTTCCCTGGGAGTGAATCTTTGTTATAAAAATTGTATAGAAATCCAACAGATAATTTCTTGAACATCTATTATGAACTAGGTACAGGGTCTTCTCCATAATATCCCAGATAGGAAGTCATCCATTTACTACAAACTATAAAATATTTTTTTCCTATCGTGGATGGAAATGTTGAATAAAACAGAACAAAACACAGACCCATATAGCGTGGTATTTCTTCTTACACCAGTTTTCTTGAATACAATTGTTAAACAAATACTAGTCTTCACTGTGTTATCCTCTAACTCTCATTTTGCCAGTTTTTTCATAAAGACACTAGACAATTTTCACAAATTCCTTATGACATAATATTTACCCAAGTCTGCTAGGCTGGTGCCTCTAAACAGGTGATGTAACTTATTGCGCCTGATTGTTTCTTATGTTACACTTTTCATAGAAGTGTCCAGTGTTCTTCGAGGCCCCTTCTGAGATCTGGCAAAACCTATGTGTATTTTGTCAGAAGATCTGCCACAGACTCCACACTTTGAACTTCTTGAACCCTATCTCTTCTTTTCTCTTTTAAAATATTGGAATACTTCATCATTTACATTCTTTTTGTACTTTGCCATTTTCTGTTTTTCTTCCAAATTTTGGTTTCTTATCAAAGAACTAGATAATTTTAGTATGGAAAGTATATTCTTCCAGGTGTACCCTTATTATCTCTTGTAAAGCATCCTACTCATGTTTGACTCTTACGTTGTTTTGTTTCTTGTCATTTGTTAATTTTTTCTATTGTCAGTGGCCTTATATTTTATAACAATATAAATCAATGGCTTAGTGTTTATATTCTGCCACATAGGAAGTTGATGGGCATGTAAAACTGTTTTTCTTCCATTTTTAACCTAATGGTGCTTTGCTCTCTAATTAACAAAATTCACGTCTGCCCTTTTATTTCCTGTAGCTAACACACATTAAGTTCCCTGTTTCAGCAGCAGATGTCTCCCATGAGCTGCTGAGGTTTTGCTGAGGATAGTCAAATAAGTTATTTATGTGCTTGCTATTTCTAAGGGACCATTCTTAGTTCTCTTTTCAGAAAATGAATCTTTAAGAAGTGGAAACTGGAAAAATTTTGTTTAAAATTTATTTTGTAAATGAAAATTAAATATAATTGACTTGTTTAAGGAGCTGGAGTTAAAATCCTCTATATGTTCTCTAAGTTTTAGTTTAGTGCCATTACCCTAGAGTGAGAATTTTTTAAAGTAGAAGAAACCAGTGTTCTCATTTTTTTAAAGATAAGGAAATTGAATTCCAAAATGTTTAACAAAATTTCCCACTGTCATAAAGCTAAATACTGAGATTCTAAACAGGCTTCATGATAGACCAGTGCTTTCTCCACCATGCTTTCAATCGGAGCACCATCTTTTTGAGAGGCTCTGATAGAACAGCTCTATTCTCAATTTTCCTCATTAACTTTAATATTTGAGAAGTATCTGTCCTATCTCCTAAGAATAGTACATGTTTTCTGAAGTGACATCATTTACTGTCTTAGCATGCTCTCCATCTTTTTTTACCCCCTTTAGATTTCCCTTTTAAAATGAATTTGTGGACATTTGGTCTTATACCATGTTTTAAGAGTTTATTTCTTCATAAATTTTAAAAATTTCTTTTTAAGTATACTTATTGGATATGAATGCTAAAAACATGTTAGTAAACACATATTTGTACTTCAACAACTAAGATAAAATTGTCTTTGTGTAAAATTCTCATGTATATTATCTCCTTTATTCATAGGTTAGTCCAGGGTGTTAAAGTATTTTATTTCTTCCTTCTGATATTTGTAGATTGTTATTTGTTCATAATGCTTATAATAGTAAAAAATTAATTTGATAACTATTCTTGCTTAATTGAAATGAATGTAGTACGTTAATTTTTTATCTAAATAAATGTTCTCTAGTGGAACGTCTAATAAATCAGTGATTGTTGGGCCCATTGTTAGTACTTTCATTGGCAGATTTTATTATTATAACAACTTTTGCAGTACTGTTCATGATACTGACTTCTGGAAACTCATTTGGAAGTGAGTAGAATCTGAATTATTTTAACTTGACACTGGAAAGGAAAATGAAGAAAGTCAAAGGAATTAGTGTTTTATATCTGTTGAAATTAAGTTGCTATAATGAACAAATTAATAATCTGATATGGACTTTTCTTAAAATTAGACAGTCTTGGTGGTCCCTTGCAGGTTGCTATGACTTAGGCTGTTATAACATGGCATTAAATGTTTCTCAGTGTATACATTCATAAGCTTTTAGATATGGATCTTGCAAGATGAACAACAGATTCTTTGTGCAGCTGTTTTTTAGACCACACAAAGTGATTCCTTGAATATAAAAATGTTACATCATCATTGATCCTTATAATTTGAAGAAATCCTCCTAGTTAACCGGTTACCACTAAATTCACGATCATCTTTACAACAATTCCATTCACAATTCTATATCAACTTGATACATATTCTTTGTATACTATTCTCTGTTTTTGCCCCAGTATCTTTGTGTTTCTGTCTGGGTGCTGTGACCTTTCCTTACTTTTTGTCATTTTCATTTTTTTTCTACATCTTTGTTTTCTTCTCTTCATTAATTGGCAGTAACATGGAATAGAAAGCCTTTTTTTTTGTTTTTCAAAATTATTCCAAATAGTTATAATCTGTTCCTTTTCTTCTAAGATAAGACTATTAACTGGAGTTTTTTTGTTACATAAGAGTGTTTAACTGCTGAGATTTGCTTTCAAATTATACATCTCTTTAAAGTATTCATAAAATGGAAATACCAGTTTTGCATGAAAGTGGTAAGAGTTTGTGGCTTTGTTGTACTTTTCAGAAATAGTCAATAATGGAGTTATGTTTCACTTTCTAGGATATTCTGGAAATAGTAGAAGGGTCTCTCATTAACTATAGAAAGCTCTCTGGGTTAATTGTAAGCAACAGCTGGACATGGTGACTCACACCTGTAATCACAGCACTTTGGGAGACTGAGGCACGCAGATAGCTTGGGGCCAGGAGTGGAGACTAGGCTGACCAACATGGCGAAACCCGGTCTGTACTAAAAATACAAAAATTAGCCGGGTGTGGAGGCGGGTGCCTGTAATCCCAGCTACTCAGGAGGCTGAGGCACGAGAATCGCTTGAAACCAGGAGGCGGAGGTTGCAGTGAGCCAGGATTGCACCACTGCACTCCAGCCTGGGTAACAGAGTGAGAATCTGTCTCAAAAAAAAACAAAAAAACCTTTAAGCAAGGAAGTTTTTCTTAAGGTTTTGACGTGAAACAGTTTATAGGTATTGTGGCTAATTCTGTAGGTGTGCTTGTATTTAAGCACACAAATTTGGAGGCAGTACAAAGCATGTGAGAAGATAGTTCTTTTGCTCTAGATTGTTGTCTATGGGTAGAACTTTGGCAATATGATTGCCTGCCAACTCTGGTATATAGATTTCCTGAAACAATTATGTATGCCTTCAGATACATAAAATACAGAATTTGGAATACTGCCATAGTGATAACTGAAAATTTAATCTCAACATACCTTGGCAAAAATATAAATCTTAACATATGCCAAATCCATCATATTTGAGACCAGAACCAAAAACCAAAATAGAGAATGATTTTTTTTAAGGAATGTAAATTATTTTGCCTCTTGTGTGAGATAACCACCCCTAATACTGCTGAAAAATCTTAGACTAGTAGTAGGGAAACATACCTAAAGCTTTGATGATTTAGGAATTAAATGTGTATTATATACTCTTCCCAGCAGATTGCATATAGCCAGTAAGGAATCGTAACAGATCAGGATTTATGTATTAGAGCCGTATTCTAGCAAAGGATTCTACCACTGTGAAAATATATGCCTTGTTCACTTATAAGCTGAGATCCTCTGTAGCCAATACATTTCTTGAGGTAATTATCCTAAACTGAGTTGCCTGCAGAAGGACAGCAATAGAGTCATAGGTTGAGGGACAAATATGGGTGAACCTGAAAAGGAAAAGCTAAATATGAGTTGTCTTCACTGCAGATCCCCTTAGCCTAAATTTGCACTTATAACAGGAGATTTAAAATGTATATCAAAAGTAGATTGTATTGTCTACTATTTACTTAGTGGCTTATGTGTACTCATCCTCATAAGAATTGTATAAAATGTAGATGACAATACTGGGGCTTGAAGAAAATTAAGTATTTTTCCTAAATTTAATCAGCTGTCTGGTATGTGGCACAGGTTGGACTCATTCTGAGACCTAACAGTGCAAAATAATATACTGAAAGGGTGAATAAAAAATTTTGTGCTGGAAGTTCACTTGAGTCACTGGACAAGCATAGATAGGCAGGCATGATCTCACTTAAAGTTTGTATCCCTGATTAAGGTCCCATGCTTGTGCACGTTAATTAATATCTTTAAGAAACCTAATATGGTTCAGGTACCCAAGCGATTTTATTTGCGTTTTCCTCCTTCTCCAATAGACCCACTTGTGCTGAGGAGATGCCCAATAGTAGTCATTTAATGAACAGGTCTAGTTCCAAGTTCCTGTTATTTTGTGTGATATCCAGCTACTATCCTCCCTATCCCTTCCATCAAAACAGTTTCCTGATCAAAGGAAAATTATGACTACATTCAACTAAATCAGACTATAAATGGTAATCTTAACTCACGTCCAGATTGTGATCACTGTTTTGTGCACTTATTTTTAGCTCTGTGTTCCTTTTGTTCTGTATCATGCCTTACACTTTCAAGGCCTGGAAGGCAAGGCTAATGTTTGTTTTGTTTTATTTCATTCTTAGCACAACTTTGCATATAATTAGGAACCGAATAAATTTTATGATGATGGTGGTTCTTTTTAAAGCCTGAAATTTATTGATTTGACTTTATTTCATTTGAATACCTTAACATTTAACCAGAGTGCTGGATTGTTTTCATTTGTAGCTATACAAAATTATTTTCCTCATGGAATAATCTTGTCCAAATTAGGAAAATTGGATATTCTTAATACTTAACTCTTAGGTTAAAGAGATGATTTGATATATGACATAAAATTCTTTATATAATATATTCTTGGCACATTTATATCTCATTCATCATCTTACTCATCATTATGTTTGATGACAACTGCCAGTTCTGCTACACGTAACTAACTTGCTCTTCAGTTTTGTCACCTTCATTTTCAGTGAGGAGAAGTGTATCTAGTAGAATGATTGATGAAGACTGAATGGTTGAACTTCGGAGCCTCATTGGACTCTGGTACATGGCAGGATTAATCCCATTTCGAATTCCATGTTTCTTGAAAAACTTAGAGTTCTCTGCCGTTGGATTCCGGAAGTAGATCTTACTGGAGCGTTTTCTAAGAGTTTTTACTGACTTTGTGGCCCGGTAATTGCAGGTTATATATCGGCCAAATGCATCCCGAAATGTCTTATTGAAGAGGGTGTAAACCAAAGGATTCACTCCTGAGGAAACATAGCCTATCCACACAAATATCTCCAGGAGCATTTGGAGAGTAGTTTGGTTACAGGAATCACATAAAACTAAAGTTATGTTTGTAATAAAGAAGGGACACCACATAAGCAAAAAGAGGAAAAACACAATCCCTAGGACTTTTGAGGCTCTCTGTTCATTGGAAATGGTCTGCACTGACTTTTTTCCAATTGTGGATGTTCTTCGCGTAAGTCTTTCATCACTTGAGTTGCACAGAGCCTTGTCCTTTCGAGAACCATCCAGCATTGCCACCTTTTCTGGTGACGAACAAGGTGTTTCATCCCTTTGGAAAACTGTAGACACAGTTGACCATGTTAGGCGTCGAGGTGGCTTGTTTTTGACCAAGTAAGCCTTCTTCTGTAAAGCATGGATAGTGAGAAAGTAGGTAACAATCATAATTGCAAGAGGTGTAAAGAAGGCAGCCAGTGAGCCAAAGAGCATGAAATTGCCAAAACGTTCCTTTGTCAGCACACAAGTGATATTGTTTGGGTTGTCCACATCAGTCTCTATCCCTTTAATAGGGATTGGAATGGCAATGCCTAAGGAAGAGGAAAACAAGATAAATTGAGTCATCTTACGACCTGTAACTCTTAGGTTAGATCCTTTTAGATTGCATCCTTATAACTTTATGCTTGTTGATGCATTATGGGACCCACAATGCAGGATTTGTCAAAGCATTCATCAGTGAAGATTTGACAAACAGAACCTAAGTGAGCACATCTGTTTTTAAACAAAGAGATTGGTTAGTAATTTCAGATTTATAATGAAAGCTCCCCTAAAGCTGTAGTATATCCATGATATGGTGGAGAATGTCTTCATTTATTCTACATTTCTCATATTTTTGTTTTTTAAGCTATCTCAGATTAAGGAAGAGAAATTCAGAAGAGAAGCTGCTTTTTTCTTATTATCCAGTGTAGTTAATCTAGAGGCACTTCAGAGTACATTTATTCAGTATCTTTATTTTGTTTTATCTTTGAGGTTACAGTTTCATTTAACACTTTTGGCCGGGCGCGGTGGCTCAAGCCTGTAATCCCAGCACTTTGGGAGGCCGAGACGGGCGGATCATGAGGTCAGGAGATCGAGACCATCCTGGATAACCCAGTGAAACCCCGTCTCTACTAAAAAATACAAAAAAAAATTAGCCGGGCGAGGTGGCGGGCGCCTGTAGTCCCAGCTACGCGGGAGGCTGAGGCAGGAGAATGGCGTGAACCCAGGAGGTGGAGCTTGCAGTGAGCTGAGATCCGGCCACTGTACTCCAGCCTGGGCGACAGAGCCAGACTCCGTCTCAAAAAAAAAAAAAAAAAAAAAAAAAACCAGTTTTACCTTTTGATATGTGTGAATGTCTTTTAATCCTTTCCATATAAGTTCTTAGGGAAAACCAAAGTTCATTAAAAAGTGCTACTTAAAATTGGAGTGTGTGTGAATTGTGACATTGAGAGATTATGAGTTCTTAATCTTTCTTCTTCTGTGGAAGCCTGGGCAGAGCGGCACTCATGCCTGTAATTCCAGCACTTTGGGAGGCCAAGTAGGGGTGGATCACTTGAGGTCAGGAGTTTGAGACCAGCGTGGCCAACATGGCGAAACCCCATCTCTACTAAAAATATGAAAATTAGCCAGGCGTGGCAGCATGCGCCTGTAGTCCCAGCTACTTGGAAGAAGAAGGTGGGAGAATCACTTGAACCAAGGAGGCCAAGGTTGCAGTGAGTCAAGATCACACCACTGCCCTCCACGCTCAGTGACAGAGTGAGACTCTGTCTCAAAAAAAAAAAAAAAAAAAAAGAGTTCTTCTATGACATAGGAAAGAAATATACCTCATGTTAATTTTCTGATCTTTAAATACCATGAAGTAAGTATTTAATATGATGTTGCTTAGTGAAGTAGCTTATTAGAAAGACAAATAATACAGGGGTTAACCTGAATCTTTTTCCTTTGAAGCAGCAGATATTTTTTAAATGTCTGAATTAACTGATCTTTAGAAACCTCTGGAATCCTTGTGTTGTTTTGCGAATCCAAGAGCACTCATCTACACACCCTTTTTATGGTAGCTAAGAGCCATTGACAAGAATACGTTCCTCAAACCCTTTCTAACAGAGGTCATTACTTTCTCTACTTTTCCTCATGTACACCACCAGAAAGAGGATTCTGTATACTTGTTCTACACCAGGGGTCGTTATATTACAATTTGAGGACCATTGGCCCACATTGTTTTTGTAAAAGTTTTATTGGCACACTGCCACTCCCATTTGTTAATAACATATTGTCTGTGGCTGCTTTTGTTCTGCAGCAGAGTGGAGGAGCTGTGACAGAAACCATACACACTCTGCAAGCCCAAAATATTTGCTGTCTTACCCTTTATAGAAAAAGTTGACTGACCCCTGCTTACTTTCAGATCACCATTCCACTGTTTCTTTCTCCCCAAAAACACTTGCCTTTTGAAGTTTATTTTATCTACTTAATACTCTCTTCTCCATCTTGCTTTTCGGCTAACCTCCATGACATTTGTTCATCTTTGTCAATGGCTTCAGTACCTGCTATAGTCTTCTCTCCACTGCTCCAGTGCCAGCATCTTCCACAACTTCATCCCATTCATTACCCTTCTAAGACCTTAATTTTATGTTTCTTGAACTCTTTGACTCTAATTATTATTATTTGCACTAAAGCCATCCACAGGTCTACTTAAAACAATCCCATATCTAAGATTATGAACTCTAATATTTCCCTTCCTTGTCCTGCTACCCTTCACTCCTAAAGAACTTTTGTTTACTGTTATTTTTACCTCTAGTTCATTCATTCGTCTCAATTTTCACATTCTCTTAACTCATTCTATTGTGAGACTTCATTTCATTCGTCTCAATTTTTACATTCTATTAATATCAAGACACACTACTTTCCTATCCAGCTTGTTGGTCAATAACTAAAAGTTTTCACTGGTACTTTTTATGCCCTTACCCTGTATATTATCATATTTTCTGTTGCCAGGTTATTACCTAGGATAACTATAAATCCAAAAGAAGAGAGTGAGCTCTCCAGCATTTTGTATCGTTACTAATTTGTGATCAGTTCTACAAGACAAAGTACAATGAAGTGAAAGAGCATTGATCTTGGCCTTGGTGCTGAAAAGCTGTAAGAGTTCTTAAGCCAACTGATTAAAACCTCTAGGTTTCTTTTTTCTTACCTATAAAAGGAAGAAGTGGATTTCTAAATCTGTATATCATGAGTCTTCCTTTTATTCTTTTTTCTCCTGCATCACTCATCACTTTGTATTAGTGTAATTTGTTTATGTGTCTGCCTTTCTTGAGTGCAAATATTCTTTTTCTTGATCATCTGTATATTCTTTACACTCAGTAAAATGTGATCAATTTATAAATTGATGGTATCCAGCCTTAATTTAGATACCATTTATACCAGTAGGCTGCTTACCTTGTTAGCTTGATCATATTTCACCATTTCAAATATTTTAATTATTCTTAAGGATCCGTTTCTTCAATTTTTTTTCCCTTTCTCTATCTTACTTTCCCACCCCACCCCAATATACACATACCTCACACTCTCCCCCTCCCTCTCCCTCATTGCAGTGAGCTTACCAAATGTGAGTCATCTCACATAATGACATCTCACATAAATGACTTTGTTATAGTTTTCCTCCTCTCCGCTTCAAATTTTAATTTTCACCCATTGTCTCCCATTCCCTTTCTGTAGCTGCTTTTGGGGGACTGGTTCTGTTCTGTCGGCACCTGCTTCCTAAACTAGCCTTTTCTCGCTGTTTTTAAATCTCTTCATTCTGAATAGACTTTTTCTTGGCCCTGCTTTCTTCCCACACCAGAGGAGTAACACAGCTTACTTTTACCTCCAAACTTCAAAGAGGTCCAGCCCTTATTTATATCATCATTTCAGGAATATAAAGGTCAATTTCATTGTTTTGCTTTCTTGCTGTTTTTGCCCCAGTGCTCCTACTCAGATTAGGGAGAAGTAATTTAAGTATTCCAGTATCTTAATTTTTCGCCTCTTTGAAATATTTTTACAAGGAGGAAGCTAATCTGCTGGTCAAACCATTGTAATTTTTGCAGATCTGTTTGTTTTTCTCATACTAACATATAAGAGCTTTGAATGATTTACGCATACTTCATGATAAGAAGTATAACTTTGAATATTATAGATGAGTATAGGGCCATAAGACAATTTAGAAGAAAAAGGATTTCTTTTATAAGTCATTTCTGAACATCAGTATGTTTTCTTTGCATCTCTTAAAGCTTTTAATTAAACATACTCAAAACACTTACGTGCAGTGACTCACACCTGCAATTCCAGCACTTTGGGAGGCTGGGGCAGGGGGATCGCCAGAGCTCAGGAGTTTGAGACTGGGCAACATGACAAACCCTATCTCTACCAAAAATACAAAAATACAAAAATTAACCAGGCGTGGTGGTGTGCGCCTGTAGTCCCAGCTACTTGGGAGGCTGAGGTGGGAGGATCGCTTGAGCCTGGGAAGTCGAGGCAGCAGTGAACCATGATTGTGCCACTGCACTCTAGCCTGGGTGACAGAGCGAGACCCTGTCTCCAAAAAAGAAGAAAACGAAAAACAACCCACTTAAGCAGACACTTAACTACCTTTAATCTGTACACATATGTTCTGAAATGTTGGCTTCCAAGATTAATTTGTGTTCTTTGATATCTGCCTACAAAATGTTTGAGTTGTGATTTTTGTTTTTTCTCTTACAATCTTTTAAAATGTGATTTAAGGTGCATTTCATTTCTTGTTATTTTAATGTAATTACAGGATTCCAAATGCTAGCTAGACCATAATTATCTGTTGGGAAATATGAAAACTGTTCTCAAACTTAACCTTTCTGCAAGTTAGATATCTAAGCAGAAAGAAATCTCAATAAACACTGTGCAGATGGTTCTTTCTGAGAACATGAGCTTTGTTACTCTTCACACTTTTTACCAATAGTATGGTTTAGAAGCCGTATGATAAATGCAGTGACATAAGGAGCTTATGTTAATATATCAGTAGGCTGGCTTGACCTCTCCTGCTGAGTTTCATTGCCTACTAGACCTAGTATTCTCCTAGCCAAGTGGAACCAAAGACTTTGTATACTACCCATACTCTGGCATTCTCTACATACCTATTGAAATTAACCACACCACTGTAATCTTGATGAATGCTGTAGCTCGTGAGTTATATTGATTGGCCTGGATTGGTTTTTTGATGGCTATATAACGATCCACTGAAATGGCACAGAGATGCATGATGGATGCGGTTGAAAAGAGAACGTCAAGGAATAACCAGGCAGGACATAGAACAAGTGGGAGGGGCCACATAGCCTCTGAAAGAAACAAAAACAAGACAAACATTTTCTCCTATAAAATGGCAACCTTCAGTCTACAGTTTTTCAGGTGATACAACTTTTGTCTTTTTTGTTACTCATCTAAAATTTTATAACTTTAACAAGATGATGTTTAACATCAGATAATGGAGACAACATTAAATTCAATATTTCTGTGGATGGTAACTTTTAAATACATTTTCTATTTTGTATAATAGTTATGCCTTTTTTCTAAGTCGGCAACAGTTTAACTTTTTAGCATTATTGTGACCTTTGCTCTTTTGTTGATTCCATTTGTGATCTTTTTAAAATTTATGTAGTATTGTGACTGGAACTTAACCTTGGTATGTAAATAAAATTTATTTTTAAGCTGATGTTGTATAAAAAGAAAACATTCTACCATATACAGGAAATGGTATGACAAAAAACATTAGAATGGGAGTCCCTGTGACATCTGGGTTTTGGGCTCACTTCTAGCAATAACTGAACAGCAAGATCCTTGTTTATAGCATTCTCTAGTTTGATGAAATAGTGGAATGATTGTTTTAACAGAAATAGTTCTCAAATAAAGATTGCAAAAGGAATGGCTTCAGATTATCTAGAAGAAAAGTAGATTGTTTCCCTTTCTATATTCCATCATTCACTCCAAAAACTGGAGATATAATAATTAGTACAGACTTTTGATTTAAAAAGAAAATCTCAGGGTTAGACGTAGTACTTAATTTATTTAACAAACTCTTTACAAAACACTGTGTACCTCATATAGTCTTAAGCCCTTTAGAAATATTAACCTTAAAAAAATTTTAGGTGTGAATGTGATACTGAATATTCTGCATAGTTTTCTAATCAATTACACAGATGTTCATACATATGTGAATTTAATAGGCATTACATATATACACCCACCACTTTTCAAAATGTGTTTACAGTTTCAAAACAACTAAAATTTTAGAATTCCCCCTAGAATATTTCCATTAGAATCCAGTTTAATGCCTGTAGAAAACAAATGTCATGCATGTGAGATTATCTAAGTCTCTTTTAGGATTTGATTGTTATATGTCCACTGATAATATATAATCTACTTTTCTTCTGGCTATTGCAGGTATATCTGACTTTGACAGGTACAAAGTGATTGTCATAATTGAAGGAAAACCAGGATAATCATCTCAGGGTTACAGAACAACAAGAGACCCTTCTATTGTGAACTGTTTAAATTTAAGGAGCCTGGGGGTGGAGAGAGATTAAAATCTCAGAACAAAAAAAAAAAAAAAAAAAGCATAATTTAGGGGCAGAGTTCTTAAATAGGTTTGGCTATGTTATTTTCAAGCATCAAGTAGGAGATTTTTTAAAAGTCAGGTAGTATTTCAGTGAAAAATATTTGGGCACTTCACAAAGTATCCAAAAGGTAGCAGGTCTGACACATCCACTTTTTGGTGCCTTCTGTTTCCAGAGTTGGTATGTGGCATTCTGAAAAGGAATATTAAAATATTTCTTCCTAGGAACAAAATAACAAAATCAGCACAAACTTTTACTCAAAAAGAATAAATGATTGGACTTAGTTCCATGTTCAGCAGCTTCTTAAAAAGGGATGAAAGCATCAAGTGGAAGGGGTCATTCATGATTTTCAGTGTATTGCTGTAAACTTTTCATGCTTGTTGAATGGGAGGTAGGAAGGGATAGAGGTGGTACATTTTAGATTTATTGAGCTGGAAGGAACCTTAGAGATTACCATTGATCTTGCAGATGAGTAAATTCAGGTATGATTAAGTCTGAATGCAGGGGTAAGGAGGGGAGGCATTTATTTATTGAAATTTAAATATTATTTGAAAGTGTTCTTTAGAACTGCCACTCAGAGTTTGCTGTTAAGATGGAGAGTGAGGATCGGTATCACCTGGGTACTTAGATATTCGGGCTCTTGGGTCTCATCTCAGACCTACTGTATCAGACTCTGCAATTAAACAAGGTTTCCAGGTGATTTGTGTGCAAATTAACATTTGAGAAGCAGTGCTTTGGAAGACTTTCTGGGAAGGTTTGTGTCTGAGTCTTAAAAGATGCTCTTAGTGTGCTGTTGTAGGGTTGGTTATAGGCACTTGAAATGTCTCATGGAAAGGAACTAATGGGAGGCCTCTCAGAATAAATTAAGTCAGAGAAACGGATGTTTGGGGAAAATCTAATCAATTGGATTTTCTCACTCTTAGCCGTAGCATTCAGATTTTCTGTCATTTAGTGGAAAAGGACCTTGGACACAGGCAGCTTTAAAGCGAACTAACAGTCTAAGTAGAGTGAAAAGAATTATTTTAGAGTTTGTAGTAGAAACTACTAAAAATGAGGATACATTCTAAACTGAGCTGAAGTTCTAGATTTACGACTGTAAGTAGGGTGGTAGAAAAATACTCATCTAGAGCATTTTTTTCCACAAAATATATTTAATAAGCTTGTTATATAAAATCAAACACTTAACATTGTCAACATTTCTTCAATAATTCAAACTCACTGATATCTAACTCTGGGAGTACTTTGTATTTTGGAAGACTTCCTAAGCTAAAAGTATATTTACATATTTACAACACATGTAAATATAACTGAAGAACTACTTCAAATAATGTTGAAATTCACAGAATTGTAGAGATTTATAGTTATAGTTTAGAAGTGTCACCAAATTGTTTGCAATCAAATGTACAGCACTAATTATGAAAAATGTTTTACCAAAAGGGGGAGAAAAACTGGGAGGGAAATATATGATGTTAAAGTCCTGTGATAAATACTTAGAAGATTAAAAAGTAATAATATACAATCGATTTAATGACCAAAAATTTTTTTTGAATCCCTGATTGTAATTTTTGGTAGCTTCACCCAGTCTTTCAGAAGGCAGTATGCTATGCTGTCAGGAACTCTCCACTGTCTCATCAGAGCCATGCTAAATGCAGTAACAGCCCTGGCTGAAAATAAGGAAGATGATGTTAGCAACTTTGAGTTTCACACATCTTCTCCATACAGGCTAAGTACTTATGCTTACATGTATTCCTGAAAGATTAAAAGGCCCGTCACCCATTCATACCAAAAAATACTTTCTCAACATGCTTTAAAAGGATTCCTTACTTTGTTTTTATTTTTTATTTTTTGAGACAAGGTCTGACTCTCTCTCCCAGGCTGCAGTGCAAGTGATGCGATCTTGACCCTGCAACCTCTGCCTCTCGGGCTCAAGCCTTCCTCTGACCTCAGCCTCCCAAGTAGCTGGGACTAGAGGCACATACCATCATACCCGGCTAATTTTTTTGTATTTTTTGTAGAGATGGGGTTTCACCATGTTGCCCAGGCTGGTCTTAAACTCGTGAACTCAAGCGATCCACCCACCTCGGCCTCCCAAAGTGCCGGGATTACAGGCATGAGCGACCATGCCCAGCTGGGTTCCTTACTTTGGAGGAGGGAGACAAACATACATCATATATAAATATTTATCACATAAGGTATCAGAGATATTGATTGCAGTTAAGGATTTAAAAGGCAGGTAATTATTGTGTTGTATCTTAGGTTTCCTTCCTTTAAGTCCTTACTCTCTCTAACATGTTTTAAAATGGTTTGCCAACTATTTAAACTTGTCTGTTTAGCTATTCTAGTTATGGATTATACTTCTGAAGATTAAGGTTTAGAAAATTCTAGTCATAAATCTAGTAGCCATAAGCAGGAAGCCATAAGAAAACTCATATAAAAAATATTTGTCTTTGGAATTTGACCATCTGATGCACATACTCCTAATTGTGGGCTAAGAAGGAAAGTTTGTTTAGCGCTGATTTAAGTAACCCTTTGAAGCCCTGTTAGCGTCACTTTACGCAGAAAGAATTTATAAACTCATTCCCACTTAAAATTCACTAGAATTTTCTTATTACAGTTAGTGCTTTATTGTTAACAGAAATATTGAGATGTGATACAGAATTTTCTTTAAGAAAGAATGAGACTGAAATTTAAGATTAAAAGAGATGAATCTTTATCATTCCAAGCCTTTCTGATTTCAAGTTACATGAAACACTGGTGGATAGTTTTTATGAAACTAACATAAAACAAAAAGATAGCCGCATTAAATTAATAGAAACCCTATATTAATATAAACCCTATATGCAAAAAAGAAAAAGAGGCTTTTGTAAATGCCTAATAGATTTGGGTAATCTAAGAATTTATAGAAATTAAAAACAGTTCTGGGCGGATCATGAGGTCAAGAGATCGAGACCATCCTGGCTAACCCAGTGAAACCCCGTCTCTACTAAAAAATACAAAAAACTAGCCGGGCGTGGTGGCGGGCGCCTGTAGTCCCAGCTACTCGGGAGGCTGAGGCAGGAGAATGGCGTGAACCCGGGAGGCAGAGCTTGCAGTGAGCTGAGATCCAGCCACTGCACTCCAGCCTGGGGGGGACAGAGCGAAACTCCATCTCAAAAAAAAAAAAAAAAACAAAAAAAAAACAGTTCTCAACACACTTGTTTTATAAAGGGACTTTTCCTAGTCTAGAGACTTTCATTCTAAAATCGTTTTTTAGTTAGTATTAATTTAGTTAGCTCAAAGTCAGAAAAGTATATTTCTATTTAGAATAACTAAATTAAAGGTTAAGTTGGTGTTGTGAAATACTTTATTTCAAAACGTTTATTTTAGGAGTTTTGGTTTTAAGAATTTCTAATTACATTTATTTGTTGTAATGTATTATATCCCATGTACTTCCACAAAGACTTAGGACATTGAAAATTTGAAACAACGAAGTGAAACAGTTACATATTTAAATAGAAAGAAAGAAAGAAAAGTGTATCTAAGAGTCAGTCTGAGGGAAATAAGTTAGTAGGTTCAACTAAATTAATTACTGTTATTCTAGGGCTCTACATTAGACTCTTTTCATTAAAATTAAAGAATAATAGCATTTCTGCAAATGCGTGAAATAATTACAAACTGAATATTAAAGCAACAAAACAAGTCCTAGATGGGTCTTGTCTTATACACAATTGTTTAATTATCTAAAG